TAAAGAAATATTGATTTCTTCAAGATATACTGGAGAAATGTTGTAAATTTGTATCGTGTGAAAGTGAAACTGATCTGTTATTGCATCACGGGCACTGATCGTTAGTTCGTATATGTTTTTACCCTCTTTTTTTTTCACACTTTTGTTTTAGTTCTACTTCTCTTTAATCTTTACTAGTGTAGATCCCGTGCGTTGCACGATGGGACTTATTCTTCAAAATCTTTTTTTTATTAATTTTTTTTTTCTAAAAAATTAATCACTGAGCTATGGCAATAAGATAAATAATATGTATGAAAATTCATATATTATTAAACACTTTCCTATACACTATATTATTGGTTTAATTTTCTCCAAATTCTTTTTATTCACAAATTAATTTTTTCAAACCGTTTCTGTTAGTAACACGGGAGACAACATATCCATTACTAAAAACTGGTTTCTTCAAGAATAAGCCAACATATGATAAGAATTTACCTTAGCTCTTACTTAAGGTCATTGCGTAGGAAACCATAATGAAAAACTATCTTTGTTGGAACTAATGATACTCTAACATTAGAAGGAGTTATTGTCATCTGAGGTATCAACACCTTATCACCTGCATGGTCGTCAGTAAGAATTTTACACTCAAGAACAATATGATAGGAGAGCTTCGTCACAACCAAGCGTGTCCCCTTGCACAGTCCCATTGAATGATCCACGAAACATTACCGAAGTTCCTAGCTTCAGATGCAACTCATGATTCGGTGTTCCAGAATACTTGATAGTATTCAAGAACTCAGGCGTATGGAGTTCTGCTAGAAAGTTGGTATTGGAGTCGCATTTATACGTAATGTTAGAGCTTAAATAAGTACGGCATTCAATCAAATTCAACGAAGACATGTATGCATTGATAGATTCTACTATCTCCAATGTCGGCGCAAGTATAGCCCTGTGTATGGGTACACTTGTTGCACTTAAATTGACCTTCTACATTCTACATCTTGTTCTTGCACCTTTTGCATGCAAGATACGCCCAATCATCAATTATTGAGTCTATTGTAGCTCAAACTCATGTATCCGTAGCGTTGAAAAGCAAAAAAACAAATAATTGGTTAACATATATTTTTGATGTTATTTTGAAAGGAAAACTTTGAGTATCAATCATATTGAAAAATAGAAAATAACAAATAATATTACTACCTCATCGGTTTCGTAGAAAGTATCAACGGAGCTCACAACAATGTCATCGTCCTCTAGCTCTTGAAGCTCACGTTTAACAATAATGGAGCTTTTTTTCTTCAACTTCACACTCTTGATTTTGCTTGTTGAAAACCTATTAAAATATATATAATTAATTAATTTCTTTGTTATAATTTAAATAATATAATATTACCTTGCTAGAAAATCTTGAATTTTCGAAATAATGTCTACGCCAATCAATAGGTGACATCCTTTGAAGTGGAATATTGAATGGTATCTATCTTTTTTTTTTTTTCGAAACGATAGAGGATTTATATATAAGCGCACAAATGTGCAAAGGTACAGCCATTAGCTGAATAATACAACCGACGACTGAGAAAACTGGGAGGACAGGTCCGAAGACCGCCTAGATCCGAAAACTAGCAATGCTAGAATACTCGCCAACACACTAAAAACAAACACACAAAACAACGACAAAAAAACAACACAAGACCCCCACAGGGTAATGCCCGAGTGTCGGACCCCCACAGAGTAATGAAAATGACACTCGGGTGCACAGAGGCCAACGGCCCAGACCTAAAACACAACGACAAACACAAACACAGATACAAACACACTAAACAAGAACAACAAACCAAACTACAACAAAACCAAAAAAGGAAAAACACAGCTAAATAAAAAAGCCCTTCCACAGCAAGTCAGTCAGCTCGAACCAGCAGAGAACAATCAATATCAGAGGATAATCTAAGTCCAGGGACGGCTCCCGAAACTGCCACAAGGCCTATACAAGAAGTCGAGCCCGAACGCAAACCACACTCCAAAACGACCCGCCTCAACCGGAAGGACAACCAAACACGCACCCACTCTAGCACCTCCCGAGCACGCCTAACACCACTAGCCGAGCATCGGAGCACCAGAATCCCACCGTCTAACACCACTAGACAAAGTAGGGGGGCGGCTCGGGCCCTCGACTCCGACACACCATCAGAGCCCCGCCCCTCCTCTCGACCCACAGACCAACTATTATCGCCGCTTACCACCGGCAGTAGGATGTGAAAAACCCCTCCAAAAAGGGGCTTCGCCGGAAAAAGACGGACCGTCCAAAAGGGCCCTCATATCGCACCGAAATTTACAGAGAAGCCAAAATTAGAGGTAGACTCACCTTCAATCAAGACCGACGGGCAAAAGACCCACCAATTGTAGGCCAATCGGCGACCATAGATCTCGCCACCTCCAATCGCAAGAACAAGAACACCGGCGAATAAGGGTTGGGCAGACCGTCAAGCTTCAGCTCACAGCGGCAACTCCAGAGTTCCGGGACGGCAGAGGAGGGGCGGCGGTCGAGCGCGACCACTGGCCTGCGCCGCACCGCCGCCGAAGAAGGCCACGCGATTCAGATGAAGAAGGCTAGGGTTTGGGTTTTTTTTT